GTGCATCCCATGATCAGCCTTTGTGTCCACGTCCCCTTTTTTCTATTAACTGCAGTAAGAACATGGAATAAACGGCTTCCCCAGATTAGCCTTTGAATGGTGGCAATCCTGGTGTCTACAGGACTGCTCATCTGCAATTGAAGAGACACCTTGAATCCTGTCTCTACCTAGGAAATTAGTGGAGGAGCTTGTATTGGTCGCTGATATTTCTGACCTGTGGTTTTTTTTCTGATGTTTTATCATTTTTGTTGTTGTTGTTGTTTGGGTTTTGGGGACAGAATTTTGCTATGTAGCCCAGGCTGACCTTGAACTTGCAATTCTCCTGCCTTAGCCATTTAAGGTCATAAATTATAGATGTAGCCACTATACTTAGCAACAAACCCTTAATTGGAATTTTTTTTTACTTGAACATAGATTTATATATATATATAATATATTATGGCTAGTTTCCCCTTCCCCAACTCCTCTCCACTTCCCCATTCACCCAAATCCTCACCCTTTCTTTCTCTCTTTCATGACAATACAACCAGATCTAAAGATGATGATGATGGTGATGATGATAATGATGATAACAAATACAAGATAATTGTGCTGTTTGTTGATTTTGTCCCATTCCAGTTTGTTTGTTTCTGTTTGTTTGTTTTGCCTGTTTTGGAAAGATTTTATGTGTGCAACTTTTACTATATGGCTTGGGTAAGTAAATGTAAAACAGTGAAAATGAAGTAAATTATGAAAAATGGTTGAAGAGCGATTAGAAGTGAATCCCTCACTATTACTGTCCCCAGAACACGTGCACCCCAGGACACTTGCTGTGAAGAGAACAGGGAAATTGGAGAGGGTTAGCAGTTAGAACAGAAATGACCCTGTATGGGCAGTTTGAACAGTAGACGTTTTTAAAGAAGATCTTTACTTTATTGGTAAAGTTTGGACTCTGTCTTCCTTCCAGCAGTTTCTGTTGTTCAGTTGGGTTCATTGAAGTTCAGTTTCACAGTAACCCATACTCACTTCTGTTAACCAGCCTGCTCTGTAGTTGCCCTTAACCCACGTGAGATCACGGCTTTTGCCGTAACTTTGATATATAATACACAAGTTCCCCAAATAGTCTAGACTTTTCAGTAAATCATCTCAATGTAGATGACATCATACTAAACTCTGCCTAATGGATAAATGTTTCCTCTGTACTCTTCCCCCAAATTAAAATGGGTCATGTGGAAAACTGACTGACTTTTTCAGTTCTACAGAAAATGAGTTATTTTACATAAAGTATTTGTCTACTATTAGTCCTTTAGGGGAATTAAAAACATGTTGTGTGGTATTAGAGCTAGGGATGTTTCTCCTTGTCTTCATGTTTTTGTTTCTTGACAAGGTAATGAATAATCTAAAATAGATTAGATAATTGATGATAGATAGATGACAGATGATAGATTGATTGACAGATAGGTGATAGACAAATTTCCTTACATGGGTTTCCAGAAAGAACCCTCATTAACGAATGAAGAGCTGCATCTTTGGCCTTCCCTCTTTTGTTGATACCGATGCACAAGCTGTGTTGTCTCAGGTTGAGCTTCAGTGCCAATAGCAACCAGGGTGGGAGGCTGTTCCACACTGGCCTTTTGCAGCCCAGCTTTTCCTAGGTTTGAATCTTTTAAGGATTCAGGAAGAAGTTACAGGCATGCATCTCAGAAAGCTACAGGTTTCCTCTTTCCACGAGGTTTGCCATGGAATTGTTCCAAGGATTTGTGTGGACTCTTGCATTCTCTCCATCGACTTCCTTCGACACCCCCCTGGAGTCCTCCGTACACACAAAGTCTACTGAACACAGAGAGGTTTTCTTACGCTGGTCTTCACCTCTGCACAGGTGAAGTGTGGGTTGTCCCCAAAGGTTCCTGTGCTGGAAGATCAAGCCCCAGGGTTATGAAAGGACAAGGTGGTTAAACATAAAGAGGTGAGACAGGGGAAGGTCACCAGGTCACTGACAGTTGCCAGAGGGATCAGTTCTGGTTCTGCAAAAAGAGTTCTTAAAGGAGTGAATTGTGAAAAGAATAAGACTGGCCTCTCTCTGCCCTTGCTTATTTATTTATTTATTTATTTATTTATTGGTTTTTCGAGACAGGATTTCTCTGTGTAGCTTTGCGCCTTTCCTAGAATTCACTCTGTAGTCCAGGCTGGCCTCGAACTCACAGAGATCTGCCTGCCTCTGCCTCCCGAGTGCTGGGATTAAAGGCGTGCGCCCCCACCGCCCGGCTTTGCCCTTGCTTCTTGTCTCACCATGTGATCTGTCCCCTCACACCTTCTCTCACCATGATGCCAAGAGGCTCCTCACCAGAGGCTAAATAGATCTAAGATTATAATGGAAACTCTCTCTTAAGGTTCGAACCTCTAGTGTTTTATTGTAACAAAACTAGTAAAAACCGTATGTATTAGTTACTTTTCTGGGCTGTGATAAAACACCATGACCAAAATCAACTTAGGGAGGAAGGTTTTGTTTGGGCTTCTGGTTACAAAGGGATAGAATAGATAGAGTCTGTAATGGCAGGAAGAGTATGACAGCAGGCAGGCATGGTGACAGGAATGGGAAGCTAGCTGATCACGTTTTTATCACGACAGCTCCCCCACCCCACACCCCGTCCCCAGTGACATGCTTCCTCCAGCGAGGTTCTACCTCCTGAAAGTTCCGTACCTCCCCCAAGCAGTGCCACGATTGGAGGGCCAAGCGTTCAAATACCTGAGCCTATGGGGGACATTTCTCATTCAAACTACTATGCCACAGTTCAGCTTTTTTTAATGACACAAGTCAGACATTTGTGGAAACCAGGAAACAAATATTTATTGGGGAATTTTGGAAACAAGTATTTATTAGGGAATTTTCCCTACCCTTAAGAGTTAACACACACAGTGCCACAAACTAATTAAGAGTATGGGTCAGCCACTCACATACTAACCACCTCTCTGCATGGATGCAGCTGGGGTCCGTTGGATGCTTCTGTGTAGGCTAGATGCATCATCCTCTTTTAGTTTAAGCTTGTTTGACTCAACCTCTTCCTTCCCCAAACAATTTCCTTGATTATCAAACTTGACAAGTATCTCTTTGTTTCACAGACATTTGGAGAACTATGGTGAAGAAAATAGATATAGTAAACGTTGACAAGGCTGTAGAGAAACTGAAACCCTCTTTGAGTGTTGGTAGGAATGTAAAGTAGCGAGTCCTTTGGGAAGCAGTGTGGCTCTGGCATTCTTCCAAAGATTAACACAGAGTTGCCAGTAAGTACACACAAGAGAAATGAAAGTACATGTCCACACGAAAACTTGTCCATGCAAACTGCCAGCATTATCATGATAACGTAGACACAGAGACAACCCAAGTGCCTACCAACTGAGAAACTTTATTTTCTTTCTAAAGTTTCCTGCCTTGGGTGTTGTGGGTACACATGTGGGTAGACACATGAAATGTAGTGTATCAATACAGTAGAATGCACTATTGCCATGCAATTAAAAGAAATGAAGTAGTGAAATGTACTACAGCCTGAATGAACCCTGAAAACAGGGCAAATACAGGATGCCAGCTGCAAAAGGCCACATCTATGGTCTATTTATATGAAATGTCCTGTCAGTGAATCCATAGAGTAGAGAGCAGACTGATGGATGCAAGGGGAAGAATCGAGATACAGGCTGACAGATTTAGGGTTCCCTGTTGGGGTGATATAGGTGTTCAGAACTCAACTGTTCGGTAATGGTTATATGTCTATACATGTACAGGAAACTATTGGGTTGTAAACACTTTAAATGGAGAATCACATGGTATGTGAATTACATGTCAATAAAGTTGCTGTCAGAGTTACAGACTAGGTCAGGGTATGGATCAGGCTACCTGTGTCTGATCATTGACCACTCCTGTGAAGGAAGGAATACAATGTCAATGAACCAGTTCTTGAGGGGCAGCTGAGCCCCCTCAGAATGGCAATGGAGGCCATCACTCAGAATTATCCCCATGAGAGAAGAGAAAGTAGGGGTTGTTTCTCTGAATACATAGTGCCCAACACTTCTAGCCTGCCCACATGAAGGCCCACCAAGCTGCTGCAACCAGAGAAAGCCCAGACAGGAAGAGACAGAGACATAGACAGACGGAAAGGCAGGCAGGTGTTCCAGATGGACAGCAGAGCACACAGGCACTATGTGTGCACACTATCCAGGTGAGGCCTGGATGACTGAGTGGACATGCAAGGCCATGACAGTGCCTATTCACAGGAGTACCTAAACCTGCACTTCAATGTCCTGATGCTCTAAAGGGGAAAAATTGTACCTGTGACCTCACAGGGGTCACATGAGAGGTGATGAGTTGATACGTCTGGTGTATCGATAAATTGAGGATGAGTGCTCTCAGTGTATCCATGTTTTGTGAACCTCTGTATTATCTTAGATTATTTCTCTTCTGGATAGATGCCTAACAGAAGAGTAGTCGATCAGGGAGAGTGATGGCCACCTTTATGTTTTTATTAGCTTAGGCTGCTCCCTTTCAATGGTCCTGGCACCCTGTTTATTTAGCCCATTCAACCACTTTGAACTTGCCCATCCCAGCTGGTTCCACTCTTGGGGTGGCTGTTATCTTTCTCCATCTTGCTGTCAGACCTTCTGGAAACTATCAGTGGAGTGCAGACAGACGTTCATCACAGCACTCACTCCTGTCTTCCTTATGTCCCTCTTGGTTTTCCAAGGCAGGCAGTGTCTGAGACTCAAAGCCCCTCGGGAGCCTGTTTTCCATGAAGAAAAGAGTCTAGCGTCTGAGTCCAATGGCTATGGTGCCAGGCAATTCCCACTTCTGTCCAAAGCATTCACACTCATGTCCCATTACTCGTGGATGATTGCAACAGCCCCGTTAGCAAACAGCCAGGGAAAAATAGGGTTGAAGGAATTCCAGACTCTTACATTGAGCTCAAGCTGTCATGAGGAAAATTTAATTTAAAGATTTGCTCACTTATGAAAATATCTCTGGACTGTTTCAGGCTGTGACTCTGCAATTAACCTGACATTTCCCAAATCTCAAATTGCTGTGAATGATGTCTTCACGTCTCTCCAAGAGATTGCTGGAGCTAGAACTCTCATGAAACAGTTTAAGTCTGTGTATGTCCCTGGAAATCATACCCATCAGGTGAGTGTACATGATTTCAGTATCTGTCTGCTGCTGTGTTTTAGGATTCAGAGGCCATGGCCACAAGGAAGTTTCCCCTCAACCCCTTTAGAAAAAGGGTTCCATTCTAGATGGACTCCCAGGTTCACTTTAAATGGACCATTTGGGGCTCCACTAAGTCTGAAAGCCTCTCAATTCATCTGTGCCCCAGAGTTAATGTAACTGGTGAAAACTGGATTGGAAATCACCCTTGTTTATAGTCTGCTGTAGACTATAGCCTGAGGCAAGGCCTTTCCTTCAGGTCCAGCTGCTGTTGGTTCCAAATGAGGGACAGGCTTTACATAGTCCCAGTTTCCTAGCTCTAGTCCTTCATCAACATTATCGGCGATCAGAATAAAGCAAGGATTTAACTGACTGTGGAAGGGAAAAGGAAGATTTGTGACAAGAGAAGCAATTGTTAGTAAAATCCCCCTGCAGCTTTCTAAGGGCAGTAGGAGAACCTGCAGAGACTGTTTTGACTGACCATTGAGTAGAAAGATGATATGACAATCCAGGGTGAGGGAGGATGTGAAACCCTGAATGGGAGACCATGCAGGAATTCCCAAGGGAAATACTAAGAGTCAAGGCACCTGGTGCTCTGGAGCCTGGAAGTTCCTCATGGTAAGTGTAGAGTCCGAGCTAAGGACCCTGGTGGCAAACATGATCACTGGTGTGACTGTGGGAATCTTCCCCTCCACTTCCCCATGATGGCTCTGGTAACATCTACTTATCTATTGAGGCTTCTTGGTGAGTTTCCTGTGCTGTAGGAGGGAGCTGTGACAATGAGGAGCTCATCTCAGGCTGATGACTGTGTAAGTGCACGTAGAGATAAGTGAATGTCCCCCATGACAACCCAGCAGAATCCCAGTTCTGCCTCCTGGGTGTTCCTGCAGCAGCTGACACTTGATGACACTCCTGGCCTTGGTTCCAAAAGGGAGTAATTTGCCACATATACATAGTAGCCACGGGCAGGTGGCAGTCTTTGCAGTCATGACTCTATGTACATTGGTTCTCAGAGAGGTTCTAGAAGTATTGATTAAAAGTGCTGATGGTCATCCAAAATCACCCACCAAGATACCAAGATCATAGAGTTGGACACTTGCAGAGTTTCCCATCCTTTTTTTAAAAAAATCTGAGAACACAACCACCACAGAATATAGATCATGTCACTCAGATCACCAAACATGTGCAATTTTATCCCTTCAAAAAAATCAACGATTCTAAATACTGTGTTGTGGACTAGTTCCAAAAGACGTGCCGCAACAGATGATATATGATGGAATCTAGACTGGAGAACGTCAGAAGGCAAACGACTGCAATAGTTGGCAGAGAACATAAACCACAAAATTAATGAGGTCTTTTCCATTTCATGACCATCACGGGGCACTGATTTGGCCAACTTCACATAAACACACATTAGCTATGAATCATGGGTGTGATAAGGACACTGATGAGCTAGCCGGATTCTGTCTCCCCATCTGCCAATGCTGCCATTTCTTCAGGCCTCAGGACTCTGTCCTGCAATCATGACTTCGGGAAGGGAAGTTTCCCATGTTGTGTATACTTCCCCTTATAGTAAGCCGGGGACATCAACACACGTAATAGAACTCCCCAGTATTGACGGGGGACAAATGGGGATGCATGGGGTGATGAGTGCACACTGTGAAGATTAAATTAGTACTTATGTAGACGTAGTGAAATACTCCACAGCAGTAGAAAGAAAAATAAATGAAGCCGAGGCAGGTCTGCTGCATGCAGCTAGCTGCCTTTGAGTCCTTGCCTCAGGCTCTACTTCTTGGGGAGTCCCAGCTTTGGGGGAGAAAAAACATGATGGATCCCTCTGTGAAACATTATTCTAGTTTTGTAAAGGATATAACAAAATATAAAATTAAAAGTACAGAGAAGTTTATGTTTAGTAACTATTAAAAAGTGTAGGGGGAAATGTAAGAAGCAGATTTGTGGGAGGTAGGAAGAGACTGAAGACCAAGTAGGAATGTTGAGCCTCCTACTGTGTGACACTGGATTGGTCACTCCACCTCTCTGAGAGCAGATCCTCCTCTGTTTCCCTGAAGCACACCCTTCAGACAGGATTATCGACCATCTTCACCCGGTTTTGGCTTCCCAAGCTGTTGTTAAAGAATTTAAAGTTACAGCTGTGAGTCCCATGGGAGCAAGGGATGCTGATGTGTTGTCCACTGTCCTCAGGGTCTAGAGGCAGCTTATGCATAGGAGGTCTCATTGAGCTCACAGACTGTACCCCAATACAAGGCAGGGAAGCAGGAAAGTACAGGTATAGGCTAGAGTCTGTGGTAGCCATTCTGGCTTTGAAGACAGGACTTGGCGGGGTTCGTGGTTTGGCCTTCAATGTCCCTAAATGCGCTTGTGCTGGAGGCTTGGTCTTCTCCTGATGGTGCTACTGAGAGGTGAAAACTTTAGGAGGTGAGGCCTCATTGAAGAAAAGAGGTCATTGGGAGTGTGCCCCTGAAAGATACATCGAGACCTTGTGCCCCCACCTCACCCCACTTTCTGGCCACCAGAAAGTAATTGTCTCTTCCACCACACATATCTGCCATAATGAACCACCTCACCACAAGCCGTCAGACACCCACAACCCTCAGAAGCTGTGTGTCAAACTCAAGCTTCCCTCCCGTAGGTTGACTTCTCTCAGGTATTTCTCACAGCAGCAGGAAGCTGCATATCACACCAGGCAGATTTCTGCCTTTTACTTCTTCCAATTTGGCCTTTGGTCCCATAGCTTGAGGGAAAATGTGTGCTGTTCACCAGGAACATGTTATCACCACACAAATTCTAGCTGAGATGTCCCAACACACCTAGGACAGGACAAACCCTGGTCTTGCCCTGGATTCCTGTCCCCACTTGTCCTGCACTGTGCTCTGGCCTCTCTGCCCTGAGTCTTGAGTCCTGCAGCACCAGGCTTCCTCATGCCTTCTCGCCTGCTCATGTACACGCATGCTCAGTCTCTGAGGCACTCATTTCCTGCTGGCACTGGAGGCACCTTCACTTCATCTTTATCCGCTCCCTTAGGTCAGTTGTGGTCCATATGCAAAGGGCAGATAGCACTCCACTCATCTGAAGGTGAACATGATGTATGAAAGAAATGATCAAATCTCTGCAAGAAGCAGAAGAGGATCTAGACCTGACATGCAGAAGTCCTAGGGAGCCAGGACCAGATCCAGTCAGGACATTGGGGGAATGGGGACATGGAGGCTGTTGCTGCAGCTCCTGACTGGAAGATCATAGCCCATGACCGGAAGCAGCTCTTCTGTGGACCTGTGGGTATCGCTTGTACTTGCCCCTTCTGGGCTGATAGACAGGCAGCTATGTAGATGCTAGTACCTGGGGTCATGGCCCAGATGTGCCTCTTACTAACTGTGAGGTCAGGCAAGTCACTACCTCTCCGTGGTCAATTCCTCCGCTGAACAAGGACACACTCTCACAAAGATGCTCTAAGAATTTAGAGAACTAGTGCCAGTCCAACTCTTGTGATAGCCTCAGACAGACAAACAGGACTTACTGTGTAAGTACTTGTAGTAACATCAGGAAAAATAAAAAGCCACCCAGCAAAGGCACCATTTTTAGGTCAAAACATGACTTTGAACTGTAAGCTCTTTTTTTCCTCCTGTTGCAAAAAACCAAAAAACAACAAAAACATTAAGGCCTTTTTTTCTTGGGTCTCTAAAAGTAACATGGGCCTGTGACACTGTCTGTCTGCCCCCTAAAGGACACACTGGCTCTCTAGTCACAGACCACTAACACCAGCTGCCCAGGATAAGACCATGGCCCTCCATAAGAGGAGTCACTGATGACATTTGCTTGTGTGGTAAGGTTGGGTTTAGGGATTGTCCCTGTAGACGAGAAGCCTAAGCCCCCAGGTAGCTGGGCCTGGGTCTTCATACCCCCCCCCATTTCTCACTGCATGATCCCCAGGTTCCTTTCGCTATGGTACAGAGTTTGATGTGCCGCATGCCTCATCAGGAGGATATTAGCAATGTTGCAGGGGCACAGACCTCATAGGCTGTTCCAGTCAAATGCCATCTGACTCCAGAATGATGACAGTTGTTGGTTCATTAGTCTTCAAGGCAGAGGTGCTGGAGCCAATGCAGCACAGATGTGGGCCTTCTTCCATGCCTCTGGCAGCTGGACAAGGAAGTCTAGCACCTCAGTGCCCACAGAGGCTTGATTCATCTTGTCCCCAGGGAAGTAAGGCTGTCTGAGTGGTCGTTGGACCCCATCTCTTTCATCAACACTCCCCAGCTTTAGCCAACAGCTGTCCATATCCTAAGCCAACCTTTATTCTCCCCTCTAATTGTATTAATATCTGCCCAACCCCGGACCTGCTCAACTACCTTGGAGGGTAAGGGCAATTGGCACCAAAAAGAACTAAACTAAGGACCCGCGAGTTTGACATTGTCCCAAAGACACTTCTAACTGGAGTGTGAATTCAAGGAAATTCTTTAGTAAGCTTGGCTTTCATTTCTTCATATCGAAGTTGAAAAACTGCATTCAGTATTTTAAGGAACCATTTGCTTCTGGATATAAGGAAAAATGGGTGGATGGATGGATGGATGGATGGATAGATGGATGGATGGATGGATGAAGAGATAAATTGAAATACTTTTGATCTTCAAACAAACCATTTCCTTTAAAAAGATGAAAGGAGAAAAAAGATCATAGTCTCACAAAAAGCAAAATAAATAGGCATGGAATTGCCTCATAAAGCCGCCAGCATTTCAGAACAGATGTTTCCCTACGCAGTGTTGGGTTAAAACAAGCTAGACACCCTCTATGAGCCCAGTTTTCCTAAGATGCTGGTACATGGCATCATGTGTAGAAAAGAGAGAAGCATGCTTCTTCAGAGGTAGGACCGAGGGTTTCCAGCTCCCCCAGCACCAGGCAGCAGAGCAAAGTCAGCAGCCTCATTGATGAGTTGAGCCTGGGCACCAACCAGTTCAGGTTTCCTT